ATGACCACCAAGATCATCTCAGCCCAGAAAAATATCCACTTCTGTTTCAAAAGTCTTCTTACGATTTGTACTGCATTTATTCAAATGTCCCTTGGAAGGGACATTCGGCTCTTAAGGGTTAAATTAATTTAGCTGCTAGACGCATTTCTGTCCTTTTCTTGAATACTGTGACTTATGACTTTTTCTTAGAAACGAATTCTAATGTAAAATGTCGACTTTTTGGTGTCGGTCAATCATGGCGCTACATATGCTTATATGCTATGTTAAAACATAGCTGGAATTTTATTTTTTTTGTTGAATTAGTTATTCAAGTTGAAGTGAAAGAATTAGTTTTCATCATTTAGAGTGCAGAAAACGTTTATTATCGTGCATCGAAAATTACGCCTGAAAAACGCGCCATAGCACTCGGACAACGAGGAGCATTTCGAGGATCAACTGTATGGTTAACAGGTTTGTTTTTTGACGTTCTTAGCAATCTTAGTCTGTTTCGTGAAAAGATTTTTTATATTTTTTCTTTATTTCAGGTCTATCGGGAGCTGGAAAATCGACAATTGCATTTGCATTAGAAGAATATATTGTTAGTAAAGGATTACCAGCGTACTGCCTTGATGGTGATAATATAAGATGTGGTTTAAATAAAAATCTTGGCTTTTCTGACGACGATCGTGAAGAAAATATCCGACGTATAGCAGAAGTATCAAGATTATTTGCTGATGCGGGTCTCATGTGTATTGTGGCATTTATTTCACCATTTGAAAAGGTAATGTATCAAACATATGTTCATATACTTTCTAAATTAGTCTACATAAAAATTAAAACTAACAGCTGCAGTATAACAAAATCTTTACACTTTTTTCATAAGTTTCTAACAACTGTTATTTTGGATCTGATAAAAATATGTTTTTGTCTTAGCAAATGTAAAAGTTACAGGAAGAATACTGAAAAGCGCTAAAAATAACTGGCTAACTTGTTAACATAAAAAAAACACGATATTTTTGGGTTTTCATCACTAGAAAAAATTCAAGAATATTCTTTCGTCCCAAATGCTGAGTGAAAGTTTTCATCGATTTTCAAAAGGCATACACTTGATAAAGTCATAGAATCTATTCTGATGTACCTATTCTCTGCATTAGTATTTTAAAAATAAACTAAATTTGCCAAAAAATATTTAAAAACCCTTTCTACTTAAATGTTTTGTAAGAAAGTCCCAAGCAAAAGTGCTTCGGCCAAAATATCTAGATGCTTTAGCTGACGTATCGGTCGATATTTTTTACTCTTTTATCTAGATGCTCTAGATGAAGCATTCAGTTAACTAGCTGCATTGCTCGGTGTACTGCTTAACACATCTACATGCATCAAGCTAAACCCGATGCAAATGTCAATTCATGGACAATGCTATCTAATTGCATCTAGAGAAACATTTATCTGCATCTATATACATCGACCACCGGAATGAACTGGGCGATGCTCGATGCTTTTTCCGAGCTTGGGGTCCTTAATACATGTTTTTATAGAGTATTTTAAGTTTCATCTTTTTTTAAATAAATTAGATCTATAGCATTATTGATTAGCAAATTATGTAAAAAATACAAAAGATCCTTATTTTCTTGCTATGCCGCACCCGTTAGTATAGTATAGTGCTGCTGAAGATTTAGACCGATTATTACGCTATTGATGAAACCTGTAAGTGTCTCGAATTTAGATCATTCAGTAAGATCTTGATATATTGATCATGTATAAGGTGAATTAATTAATTAAACTAAAATTCTCATTGTTAAATTAAATACTCTTATCTTCTGTTCAGGATCGTGAACAAGCAAGATTGTTGCATAAAAAATATGAATTACCATTTATAGAAGTTTTTGTTAGTACACCATTGCCAGTATGTGAGACAAGAGATGCTAAAGGTTTATATCATAAAGCAAGAAGTGGACAAATCACAGGTAACATATGAACTTGCTTTTTTGTACAGCATCCATGCTTTTCCGTAGACAATTTTTCCTATACATATACCGATGAAAGAGTTTGTTATATTCTTTTGCAATAACGAACATTTGTTAATGATCATTTTGAATTATCTATCCATGTAATTACTTCTTTCTATTCTCATTGAGTCGACTAACATCAACAAAAACAAATTTTGTACTGCTCATAATAACAAGTATATTTAATGTATATTTTGTTCGAATCTTTATTCGTACAAAATTGATTTTGTGTTCTTCGATAGTTTCAGTTTAGAATACTATAACGGAATATTTTTCTGTTTGTATTCTGAGAATAAAGCTTATACCAATGTATATATTTTTTGCTTTCTCAAAAATAAGTCAAACAAGAAGTTAGTTTTTTGAATTAGAAGTGATGTATGGTGCTGAGTTATATTTATATTCAACTGCGTTCTAAGACCTACTTAAATTGATGGACACTAACATCGTACTTGATTTTTAATTTTTTCAGGATTTACTGGCATTGATGCTCCGTACGAGACACCATTAAATCCGGATGTTATCATTGACACTACCACACTCTCTGTTGAAAAATGTGTCGCAGAAATTATTTCAAAATTGGCTGAAAACGTTTGTTGTTGTTGTTCTATATTTATTTTAACTAGTCATGTTTCTATTTTTAGAGTGTTTTATCACCAACATTAATTTTATCCGTTCGAGAATTATTTATTGATGGATTAATGAAACAAAAAATAATAGAAGATTTACCAAATATACCTAAACTATCAATAACTGAGGTCTATTGAATAATTATGATGCATCTAGTTCACCTATTTCATGTTTTATTCTGCGTATTTTAGTTGGATTTACAATGGATTCAAGTGTTGAGTGAAGGCTGGGCAACTCCACTTTCTGGCTTTATGCGTGAAACCGAATATTTACAGTGTTTACATTTTGGATGTTTAATGAAAGGTAAACACATCAAAAATCTAATTTTTGAAACAAATAAATTCTTTAATTGTTGTGTATTTTTAGGTCATACTGAAAATCAAACTGTTCCAATTGTTTTACCGTGTACTACTGAAGATAAAGAACGTTTTAAATCATCTAATGCATCGTTAATTGCATTGTATTTTAATGAGAAACCAGTAGCCATATTGAGAAAACCTGAATATTATGAACATCGAAAAGAAGAACGTTGTTCACGTGTATTTGGAATGTATGACGCTGGTCATCCACATATTAAAGTATGTTAATTGGGAAGAAATTCTTCATTTATTGAAATATGAGAATCTATCGTTATTTCAGATGATTATGGACAGTGGAGACTGGCTTATTGGCGGTGATTTAGAAGTTTTTGAACGCATACGTTGGAATGATGGTTTAGATCATTTTCGCTTAACACCAAATGAATTACGGCAACGTTTTCGTGATATTAAAGTTAGTATCTTTATTCTTATTTGTTCTTTTTTATAATTATTTTTTTTTCAAGGCCGACTGTGTATTTGCATTTCAATTACGAAATCCAATTCATAATGGTCATGCACTGCTGATGCAAACAACAAAACAGTTACTTTTAGATAGAGGATTTAAAAATCCCGTTCTTCTTTTACATCCATTAGGTGAATTTATTACATCTACACGTGTAAAATTTCAATGTGTTCATCCTTTTCTATTTAAGGTGGATGGATCAAAGAAGATGATGTTCCATTACCGACACGTATGGCTCAACATCAAGCGGTTTTAGATGATGTGGATGATGTACTTGATCGTTCACGAACAGTTTTGGCTATATTTCCTTCGCCCATGTTATATGCTGGTCCAACAGAAGTTCAATGGCACGCAAAGTCTCGTATGTCAACGGGTGCAAATTTTTATATTGTGGGTAGAGATCCAGCAGGCATGCCTGATCCACGAATAAAATCAAAAGATCTTTATGAACCCACTCATGGTTCAAAAGTATTAACCATGGCACCTGGACTTAATCAATTACAAATATTACCATTTAAGGTAGCGGCTTATAATAAATCGACAAAAAAAATGGATTTTTATGATCCATCAAAACACGACGATTACGATTTTATATCTGGTACAAGAATGAGACAAACAGCAAGAAGTGGTGGTTTACCTCCCGATGGTTTTATGGTTAAAAAAGCCTGGGATGTTTTAGCATCATACTACAAATCATTGAGTGAAAAATAAATAAATTAAATAGAATACATTCCTTGAATTTTTTTTCCAATACTAATGCTGATTATTTTCGAGTCTCTTATTTTTTGCTTTTTTTGCTTTCATCTTTTATTGTTTTTTGCTAATATTTGCTTTTATTATTGCTAATGTAATTCAGAAATGAGAGGAAAATAAATCGACGATTTTTGTAACTCTCGAGTATGATGATAGCAATACAAAATGGGAAAAAAAACTATTCATTATAGATTTTGGATCGATCTAACAATCTTTTTATTAAGCATTTATATTTGTTTCAAAAATATAGATTGGCATCTGTTATAATCAATACCAATTGCCATTGATTTGTGCAACTTCATCTAATAATATCATAATCAATGTATATCTATATATTTGTGTTTAAAAAAAGAAAAAAACTGTTCTTTTCTGCCTTTACAAATAAAATAGAATACGTCCATACACAATAAATACATATACACATAATATTCTCTGTCTATTTGATAATTTAACGACAAACAAAAAAAAAAATATAGAAGTAAAGATTAAAAATATACAAAAAGGGATATACGTTGAAAGAACAAAAAGAAATTAATTGAAGAGAACTCTGTTTAAAATGACTTTAAAATTGAAACAAAAACAATTACATGAAGAATGTGATTTCTCTTCTTTTTTTTTCACCTAGAGTATTTATTATCAGAAAAACACCGAATCTATTGTCAAAAATTTATCGTTGACTGTACTCGTATCGGTAGACATCTAGTACTGCTGATGGAAAAAAACAAACAAACAAATAATAAATTCCAACCAACTAGACATTCTTCACAAACATAGGATTCCCACTATCCAATTTTCTTGTTAACAACTGTCGAAAAGTTGTTGTGACTTCGAAACTTCGCATCTTTTTATATCCTTTCTCAAGAACAATTATTAGAAAGAAAAAAAGATATATATATATACATATACATATATCAGATATATATCGAGGAATGTGTGTGTATATGTCATTGATTATTGCAATAAAATTAAGAACACGATTACAGCAAAAATTAAAAAAACAACAACAACAACTAATTGTTATTTGAAATATTTTTTATGTTTGCATGTGAAGAGAAAGAGAGAAAAGTTACAGTGATATTGCACACATGGAACGATAAAATAGAAGAATATGAGATCATCTGTGAGGCAAATAAAATAAAAAAAGAAGACGGACAACATAGGAAGGTAAAGTGTACTATAAATGCCGAATACTAGAGTGAATATTGAAAATATGAATGATCGGAAGAACAATTATGGATTGATTATTCAAGATTTTTTATTAAATGGCCACCATTCACTTTTCTGCTTTTCTCGTAGCATTACTCTATGTGACATATTAGCAAATTCTTCAGCTTTTTCAGATAATCTTTGTGTTGCCAATTCTGCTTCATTGAGCTTTTGTCCACGTTCAATAATTTTCTAAAATTATAGTATTCAATTTTATTTCTATAATGTGCAACTATTCTAGATTTTTCTTTTTAGTAACGAGTGTTGCAGAAGATCAGTATTTTCAAATTTTCTCTTCTCCCTTAGAGAATCCAAAACACAGTGAAAAATAAAATTATTTTGAGCACGGTTCCATGCTACAAAGTGTAATCGAAATGTATGTTCCAGTGTTTCGAAGTGCCTTTCGTTTCGTGTATCATCATCGATTCGCATTAGACATGTTCTCAGGCACAAAAAATGCAAGAAAGAAAGGGTGAATTTGACTTTTTTCGTCTTGATGCGAAAAATGAATGGAACTATTGAATTGTTTTTGTTCGATGTGATGGAAGAATTATTCTGTTCGATCTCAAAATGTCTTATTTTGACCAAGTTATAAAAATTTTCTTAATTGACGTAAAACTTCAATTTGAAAATGATGATTTTTGACAAAATTGAAAAAACGAAGAAAATCGATCCTAATCCTTTATGATTACAAAGAGGTTCACAGTGTTTACTCTGCTTTCTTTTAATTTTTAGAGTATATAGAAAAATATTTGATATATTTTTCGTAGAGAACGAAATGATGAATCTTTTACATCAAAGCGTGTCTAAGAGAGAAAAGAAAGCTTAAAAATACTGATATCGCTATTTCTTCTGAGACGGTCGTTAGTAATCAATATCAATCAATAATTTTATTTACATCTCTTGCGTCAGCAATGACTCTGCCTGCTGAATCTGTTTTGGTTTTCAATTGATTCATATTAACGTCTTCTTTTTTAACAACACCAAATGGCGCTTTTCCCTCACCAACTAAATTAAAGTATGAGAAAAAAAATGAATCAATTTGATAATAACTAAGAAAATTCTATGTCATCTCACATAGTTGATCTGTATCAACACTCGGACTTGAATTGAATAATTTGAGAAAGAAGCCTTGTTTTGGTGCTTCTGGCATCGATATAGACGGATTGTATAAATCACACAACATTTCATTGATTTGCTCTCTAAAAAACATCATATTTTAGAATAAATCAGTTTGTGAAATTTCACTCTTTACTTGACATCGGATGCAATTGTTATTTTTTGTATTTCTGTTGGTGAACACATATACAAACCATGACCACGATCGGTAAATGAAAATGTAGATCCAACTGTTGTTCTAAAAATAAAAAGACAAGTAATATAGAAATATTGAATGAGGTTACAGTATTTAATATACTTGAAATTGTCTGATGTAGTTTCAAGTGGTGTATTGTATAATTCACGTAAACTTGGTAAACTATAGACGAGAATTCTTCCACTAGCAACATAACATGTCAGACAAGCTGAACCTAAATATATAACAAGAAAATATAGATAATATAAAGCAAATAACTAGAAAATGTACAAACCAGCTATTTTAACAATAGCTGCTCTCATCACGTGTGACGAAGCTGATGATGAGAGTGTATCACAAATTTTTTGTTTTGAAATACAAGTTTGAGATGGTAATGTAACAACCTAAAAACAAAAACAAGAAACATTTTCTAGATATTTATACTAATTCATTTTTTGTGTATCGGATACTAGCATTTCAATACATGTGACAATCGCCTTACTAAATTTAAGTAGTATAAAAACTTCTCGATCACATTTTTCCCCTTCTAAACAAGATAAAAAACTTACACGTGCTTGTTTTGCACTACAAAAAACTGCATATTGTCGATCGTTATTACTAGCCGATGTTGTTGATGGAGATGCTGACTCTTGTGACTGACTGAATGTATCTTTTTGAGATTTTTTGAAATCTATAATAGAGATACGTAATACACAAAAATGTATTATAAATCTAAAATATTAGTTTACTTTTCGAATCCCATTTTTCTGTTGGAGATGGTAAAATCGTTGCTTTTTGATCAAGAAATGATATGGCCAATAAACGTCCACATAAACGAAATATTGTTCCAGATGGTGTAACACTTATATTTCTTGGCTCATAATTAATATTTAAATTAACAACAATAACACATCCGGTACTTGTACCAATCCATACACTTGGATGAAGAGTTGTATCTAAAATAAAATGAATATAATAATACATAATATTTTTAAATACAAAACGAATATCTATGATACCATTTTTATACGTATACGATTCAGAAAATTGAATAGAACAAACACTTTCACTTGTAATAAAATTATCAATACTTGAATTACTAGTTGAACGAGGAATATCAATAACCAATGGTTTATCTATAAAAATAAAAACATAACAAACATACATATATTGTATAGTTTGATAAAGTAAAAATAAACAAGTTCACACAAAACAAGCGCACACATATAGACACACATATATAAATTAGAACATGCAAATAATACACAAAGTATAAAGAAGACCTTATAGAAAAAAAATTTACACAAATAAAATGAAAAATTAAATAAGATCGTTTTATTCATAATGTCAGACAAAATATTGTTGAAAACTTACCATTGGCATTCGATGAAATTTCAATCAATTAACGTTTTTCAGCAGAATCATATTCTACTTCAATTATCATTCAATTAATTTCATCATATATGCTTGTTGTAACCCCCTTTTCAGCATTAGAACGGAAAGACAACACACACTCAAAGCTATGCCAGGACATTAAGCAGTGCATTGTAAAATCAGAAGGAAAAAAACTTTAATAATTTGAGATATGTCCTGTTAAAGGAAAAACATCACACGCTGAAAGCAAGACAATATCTATTTTAGAAACATTTTACTAATTTGATCAATTCTGTGTATAGATGTGCCGAATAGAAGAGACATTAGAAAATAAAATTTTTTATTTAAATCTATATATCTCTTAATCTCTTTTTATCACAAGAGAATCGTTCAGGATGTCCTCTTCCTCTTCCGCTGCTTCTCAATTCATTTAAGTTGAAGAAAAGAAAAACATCAAAAGACACGAAAACTTTTTCGAAGCTGCGAACGTCAACAACAACACGAGATATACGTATAATTAAAGCACCACACTAAAACCCAGTGTTTATCTATACGTTTTAACGTACAACGAATAACTTACAAATACTTGAATTACAATCAACTGTTTGCTGTTTTTGTACCATATACATTGTTGATACATTTGGCGGTGAGGCCGCCTAGAAATTAATATTATATTTCTTTGATCACATCAACAAAGAAAATAAGATTTATAAGTTCGAATCTATATCTAAGCAAAGTAGAAAGATTGCGTTTTGATAGTTTAAGATTTAATATGGATTTGTTGTCTCTTGTATATTCTAATGCAGAAAAAAAGCTTAAATTTAGACCAATACGAAGCAAAAAAAAAACACAACAAAATTGTGTTATAGTGGAAGATTAATCTACTCTTTTCAATATCATTTTCGATAATCATATATGTATCAATAGTTTGTAGGCCAGCAGCTAATAGAATTAAGAATGGTGATCTGCTACATAATCGAATTGTAAAATGCTATCCATTATGAAAAAGACAAGTTGAAATTACATTGTTGTTATTAATTTGTGTCTGTTATTTTTAATGAGGGCCATATTCATTATAATAGTCATACCATAGAATCATCATTAATTAAAAATTTAAATATCGTTACACATTCGAAAAGCAAACATTTATAATCAGTCATTTTCTAAGATTGCTCGTTATACTTATGGTTATTATGCCATTCAATTTCTTAGTTAGAATAATTATTTTAAGATGTCGTAAAGAAAGTATAGAATTAGAAAAAATGACATGACAGACACGAGATATCCTTCGACAAACTTTTCGGTCATATTAGTCATATCAATTGTTGCCATACAATCTTTAAAATATGTCGTAAAACGTTATAAATTTAATAAGTAAAAAATGTTTACATCCACATCGACATCTCGAACTGTAGATGACCCATCAATACAAAAGCAAAAAAATATCAAATTTAATCAGTTATTTAAAAGAACGGTAAGTAATCTATTAATGAATTATCTAAAACTCATCACACAAAGTAGAAATAAACAAAAACGATTTATCATTCTAATGGCAATCAGATGGTAAACAATACGTAATGCATTCAGGGCAAAGTGAAGAAAGAGTCTGAGGTGCGTTAAAAAATTCAATATGGTGCGGAAATAATAGGATTTTCTTGCATTAGTCAAAGGACATAGTATTACTTGTTCCTGCTCCACGGGCCTAAAAATGTACGGCTAACACAAGTTATTCAAAATTTACAATGATATAAAACTGAAAAAGAGATGAGCTTCGAAATAGATTGGAAATTCCATTTAATTCTATTAAATAAACCAAACTCCACGTAGTCTTCATAATTCTAGTTTTAAGCTTTTTCAAAGGACCAACCAAATTATCTGTTTTAAACAAGTCGTTGTAGTCTCCTAAAACTTAATATATAACTTCTCAAATATGAATCGTATTATCTTTTCAAGTTCTTAAGATCGATTCAAGAGTTTTAGTTTAACATTGAATAGTACTATATTGCTATAGAACCAAAATTTCTCTAGAAATCTGCATTTGGGCACGGTAAAATAAAATCTTAATATTATCAAAATTCAAATAAAATATAGAAAAGCAAAAGGAAAACTTTAGTAATTATTATCAATAGGTTTTGCATTATATTTTGTTATTTAAACAACATGCTCACTTTCGATTAGAGACGTTTGTTATTCAATCAAGAGAATAGAAAAAATAAAATTTCAAGGTTTAAAGCATGATTATTAATATTAATGATAAATAGCGTTTTGTACTTGCAGCATGCGCTCTCATAGCATAGAGGAAGAAGAGAGCAAAATATTTTTTTATTTCTTATCGTACCCTTGCTGCTATTATTGTTCTTGTTATTATTATTTTGATTGTTGTTGTACGAAGATGAGAAAGATGATTTAGACATAGATGTATTTGTTGGTGTTGCTGTTGACGGTGGTGTTGGAAGATCTTTTCTTAGATCAACCATATTTATTTTGCGTTTATTTGTTTTAGATTTTATATGTTCACAGTATTCCAATGAACATGTTCCGCGTAGTTGTGTTGTAGTGAACATTGATGGTGACCATGTCTTAGATAATGTAGTTGGTTCGACTTGTGATGTATCACTACTGGAAGGATTGTTTATGATCGTTGATGGTATTGAAGAAGTCGATTGCAACGCAAATTTTTCATCACTTGATAATGATTGATCAGGAGTCAATGGAGTAAGTTGTGATTGTTGCTGCTCAGCAGTTAAATCAGAATTGGATGTCTGAATTTCACTGAATATGAATTGTTTCTGATTTTCACTGACACTACCTTCACTTTCAGCCCCACTATGTGCTGGTGAATCATTATCTTGATTTGTGACATCATTTGATGGAGTCATGAACACAGCTGGATTTTTGATAGTTGGAACACTAGATCGAGATAAATGACTTCGAAACTTTTTCAATGTTTTTCCGATCGTTCCCGTTTGAGGTTGTTGTTGATTATCCAGAACTGGTTGAAACCGTTGTTGTTGAGAAACATTAGCTTTTGTTTCTTCTTGATCACCATGTTGTTTAATCGATACCAAATCTATTGAGCGTGATCGACTTACATTTGGTTGGCCGATTGTGTCATTTGAAATTCGTTTAGAACGAAGTCCACGACCGTGAGATTTTAAAATACCAGTGAATGAATGTATTTCAGCTGTTTGTGGAGGAATAGGAGTTTGTGGCTAGAACGGGTGCGATAATTTCTACCAGGTATTTAAATTTCCAGTAAATTTTGGTGAAAAACAAAATTTGTTCTCTAATAAACAGATGAAAAAAATCCAAAATCTTTTTATATTTACCTGATGGTCATGAACAGATGTTGGATCATCAGTCGAAAGTAGTACATCGGATAAAGGACCTTTACGTTTTGGTGATAATGTTGCTCGTTGAAACGGGTCCATTGTGCCTAAAGATACACTCAGTCAGAGCAAGCATCTCTCAAAAATAAATATCCAAAGAAGTCCTGCGGTATGTGAAAAAAGGTAGACACTGGAATAGATGGGCAAGCATTTTACTTGACGATAATAAATACTAATTATCCTTTCTTTTAATAAAGTAGCGAAATGACGTGTGACTGTAACGTACATGAAGAAAACAAGATAACGTTTGGGTATATTTACCATAGAGATCAGCTGTAGCCATATTCATTAATATTGACTTGCTTAGATAATCAATGACAACTAATCCATTTTCGAATCCAAATACCATTCTGAAAAAACAAATATATCATCTTAGTGATAAACGTGGAAAAAAGATATTTATGTTATATACAATCCATATTTTGAATTTATTGCTGTATCCGTTAAAGTTGGAACTTTATCGGTTGGAAGCCATGACAATAAACAAACCAATTCTGGTTGATAGCCGGCCATTCGACGATAGCCAAATTTTGCACGTAATAAACTCTTAAATTCCTAGAAAATGAAATGATATAAGCTTAAAAAAGATAATAAGAGAAGTAAAATTGTATTACCTTTTTATCTGTTAGATGCATATGTTGCAATTGTTTAATTTGTGTTGATTCTTGTGATCCACCACCTCCACCTGTATCCTCTTGATCATGAAGTAATCCAGATGAATTTCGATGTAATATGGGAACTTCCAAAGATGGTAAATCACCCAGTCCTTCATCAACTTTATCTAATTCACTACCACTAAATTTAAACAGTGTCACATGTCCTCCTCTTCCAACTGCCGTTAATAATTGTCCATCGCAACATAATTTAATTGAATAGATAGCAAATGGTTGATCATTATCGTTTGGATCGCTTTTGCCATCTCCATTGACCAAAACATTTCCTTGTTCATCCACATTACTGCTGTTCGAACGTGTTGTTTTCACATCTTTAGATGGCTGATCTTTGCTATAAACACGATCAAACAAACGATTTGTGCGTAATTTATATAAAAATACAAGATTAACACCGGACGCATCCCAAAATTTTATTGAACCATCAGCATGACTGAAAATAAAATAAAAGTGTATGCAATATTTTTAAAAATTGTAATGAATTAGATGAATTTGTTTTACTTTTACAATAACTTACCCTGTAATGATAAGCTCATTATAACCAAATATTGTGTTGCCACTTTTGCCCCCAGATATCGGATTCTCCTTGATAAAAGAAAAATTGATGTCTCTGATTTTGATTTTTTAAAGTAAAAATTTACTCATACTTGTTGACTGAATGTTCTTTTTGGCGTTTGTTTTGATTGTAAACGTAATAAGCTCTGATAAAAATTAGCATTTGGTTCTGTTAAATAATCGCAATAGGTCACTTGAGATTCATGCAAATCCATAGTATGTAACGATTCGAATAACGGATAACTGAATGAGAAAAAAAGATGAACAACAATTAATCGGCAAATTTACTCAGATTAAAGTCTTGTTACTTTTCTGTTTTCAAATCAATAACAACAAGATCATTTTCAAGTAGAACAACAACGGCTGATGGATCAGGGACATCTGAAAAATATGAGAATAAAAGAAAATATTATTTATAGTAAATGGCTTGATTAATTTTAAATTGATTACCAGCAACATGAGGTGATGACGACAAAACATGAAAATCAACGATTGAATTATCCATATGAAGAACGTTTGTTGTTTGTCCACGTATAATTGTTAAAAAATGTGATGACGGCTTTGCTGGTGGCGTTGCTGATGATGCAGCGGCTGCCGATGAAGAAGGAGGTTGCTGTTGAGTGTGTGGCATTCCGCCAGAAAATATAATAAATGATGTATCACTGAAAAGTGACGAAAATGAATATTCAGAGTAAATAGCCGAGAAACGATCATCACCATTTTACACGTTAATAAAAAAGCAGAACCGCAGAAGAAAAAGCAATTCATCTTTTAATCTGTCTATTGAGCATTTTGGAAAATCCTATACAGTGGTCCAAGAACAAAACACATTTTACCGCATGCCTCATAGATACAGTGTGAACATTCTTGTAAGTTTTGGTGAGGGTGATGTTTAGCCTATGTTTATACGGAGAAAAGAAGCGTCTTCATTAGAAATTCAGAGCTTGAATTGCTATTTTATTGCACGATTCTATCTGATGGGGTTCTGCCGTTATAATCCATCGTTACTATACCGGTGTTCGCTCAAATTTCAGTGGAAAATACGTCAGCTACGATCAACTTACGTATTTTTGATTGCACTCCACATAACTTTATTGACAGAGCCAAACTTTTTCACGTCGTCTTTACATATTCGTGCTAAAAATACAAAAAAACAACAACCATGTCACATGTTTTACATAAATAAACTTACCATGTGGATAATTAATATTAAGAGGTTTGTCTGTCGCTTTTAAATTCCAAACAGATAACGATCCATCACAGTGACTACACATAAATTGACGAGCTTCATGATGCCAGGATATAGATGTAAGACCCTAAAATAAATAAAACTTGTATATTATAATAAAATAAATACCATCACGGTTTACCTGAGATAATGTATAAACACTTTCGGATACTTTTTGTACAAAATTCCAGCAGACAACATGACCAACTATTGGGGCGTTTGGAGCAGTAATATGAGTACTAAATCCAATGTAAATCTAAATAAAACGACGTATTTTTTTTTTGATAACGATGATACAAGAGTTTACGATATTACTTTTGTTGGATCTTCTGGATTTTGACATAGATCAACAACCACACCCGGATGAGTACTTTTACCCCTAAAATTAATTAACATAGACGAATCAGAGTTATATTGACTAACATTTTAAATAGATAAAAAAGAACATACATTCCAATTGCATTATTCCACATAATTTTATAGGATGATAATGTGAATGTATCAAGATTAACCACATATACATTTCCAAAATAGGTACCAACTAATAGCCACTTTGAGTTAAACGATAATGGTAATAAACAACGACTAATTCTAAGAATAAATGATATTAAAAGAAAAAAAAATTAGTAAATTTGTTTTGAAGACATAGATGAGAAAATTTAACCAAATCAGAACGAAATAATAAATACATTCAACTTTAAGAAATTTTACCCCATCATTATCAAAAGAAATCTTGGCGTTTTAACAATATGACACTGTTGTATGTGAGAACTTTGTTTTCCTAATTTAGAACGTCTGCTGAAAACAGAAATTAAAATATAACGGAATCAAGTTTTCTTCAGAATTTCTTTTTTGCCAGTTGTAAAACTATTTTACATAGATCTCTATAATATCCAACATTGTTTCACTGTATCTGTAGTTATAATGCAAGATTTTCCAAAATATGTGCAAGATATACTTGAAAAATATGAACATTTATTTTCTTTTATCCTCAGTGATTTGATCGTTTTTCCAAATCAAAACAAAAAAATTCAAAAACACTTGGATATTGATTGATGAGTTTATTGATTAAATTCTATTTGTTAAACAGTTAGAATAAATCTGAGCCACTGTTAATGACATGAGAGTACCTGGCATTTTTTCAAATACTCATGATATGTCAATTACAACGTTGATGAAACGAACAAGTATTTTTTTCTTTTTATCGTCTATCATTATGTATAATGAGCATATTTTTCTCTTCTCTATTATTTAATTTTTGATTAAAAAATCGTGCTCTTATGACTATCATTTTATTCCGTAGAGATATAAATGCTTCATCTTCTTTCTTCGTTCTTGTTTTCTATATAACGAAACACTTTACATTTCATCTTACTATATTTTATATATTAATTCTGTGAGTAAGCAAAAATACGAAGAAAGAGAAAGAACTGTCAGAATTATTATTATTACATCATATAAAGAATAAGAAGAAAATGAACCATCACATCTACATCACCATTCCTTCTCTACTCTTTTATAGTCGTCGACGATACAATTTCCTTGTTCTTGAACATATTACGATCTTTTTAATAGACAGACATAGCAGTATAATCTCGATTAAGATGAGTGCACGATGTCGAACGGAAACACAAATAAAGCTAAAAAGTTGAGAGGCGAAAAAAAAGAAGAAAAACATAATTATTTCTTTTTAACTTTTTTAGCATTGAAGCGAAACTAATTATTAGAGATTTGTAAACTGATCTTTAATAAAAATAATGAGCAAGAAAAAAAAAATTAATTTTTATTATAATTATAAACCTTTCGATAGTTTAACACGCGTCTGTAATAATATTTCTTAATTTTTCAACTTATTTTTTTTATTCGAGCATTTTTCTGCAAGACACAATAAAGTTTGAATTGTAAAACAAACTTCAAGAAGACAAAAAGATTTTTCTTATTGATCTGACAGTATCTTCACTATCCTGATTATAGCTGAGAAATAATAAGCTTGACTCTCTAAATGATCAATGACTTAAATAAAATGAAAACATTTTTAATCAATTAAGTTTAAAATTATTTTACCATTGCTAGTGCTAGATTAAAAACAACATATTCGTCATTCTAATATTATTCATTTTGATTAGGTTATTTTGCTATAAATTTTATTGATATTTGTTCGTTCTTTATACGATAAATCGAGTGTGATAAATACATACAAAATGAATAAACTTCAATCAAATAAACAAAATGTATTATGATGAATAAAAATTTGTTCTACATTGAAAGACAAAAACATTCGAACTATTCGATCATATAAAGAACGAAAGATGATTCATATTCATTCATATTAAAAAAAACTAGTAGAATATAGAATACTTTGACTATAAAATTACGTTTGTTTACGATGCGGTCTTTCATACGAAAGCAAATAAATACGGTGCTTCTCATTACTCTTTTATCCTAAATCAGTTTCAAAAACATAATGAATAGGATTTCATAAAATACAATGATTTCTTCTATAAACTATTTTGTGGCAGTGTATGATTAGGGAAAATGCATTGTGAGAATAGTTCGCGATAAAAACGATTGATTATTAGACATTGATTACATTATTCTCACTATACGTCAAACTTTTAGACGAAAATGAGAAAGATCTTTAAGTAAAGACGAATAATGTTGACAGAAATTTTAACCCATTCTTGCACAAACAAATGGTAGAAACCATGAGAGGATTATGATTAGAAATTTACCATCAAAAGAATCATTTCAGCATTTAGACTCTAACATGATGACACTTTTGACAATAAAATAGGTGCATAAAAAATAATTTTCAAGAGAAAATCTTCAATCTTCTTTTTAAAGCTTTTTAAAGTATTCATTTAAAAATTTCCATACGCCTGTACACAGTTTAAGATCAAATCTAACTTACTTTTCTTTGACAAATTTCAGTGAACTGGCGATCACTGGCTTCTTCTGTCGAAGACTCCATAAATGTATATAGTTATCACGACATGCACTAATGAGCGCTCCCTAAAATGAAACGAAAAACAAAAAATTAAAACTAACAGTAGAAAAAGAAACAAGGGTTTACCTCATTTATTCTGAATACTAATTGAACAATTTCCACTTCAGTTGGATGAGGTAGACAACATTCAACAAACGCACCTCCATAACTAAAACAAATATAGTGAGAAATTAGAATCATTTGGTGTCAAAAAAGCATAATGTATACATACATTTTAATCGAGCCCGTTCTTGTTCCAATTGCAAGAAGTTTTTGTACAGGATCATACGCTAATGTTGTTGGTTTATACGGAAAGCCATATCGAACAATCTCAAATGAACAGAAAATAAATTAATTTTGATGAAAGGGACAATTAAATTGTTTCCTTACTTCACTTAATGAAAAATCTTCTTTTCGTAAATTTTCACTAATTTCAACTTCCGTTTTTTTAGAATCACCAAGTTTAAACGGTAATCTAATTCTACTTGTCATTGACATCAGTAGTGGTTTTGTTGTTCACTTTTGGAATAGGAATTATCAAACAAAAAAGAGAAAATGTTCATACCGAAAAAGTAGCCATAACTACAATAAAGAGAGCAGTTGTAATACAAAAAAAGTCGAAAGTCAAAATTCCCACCTATCAGTAAATTATCAATAAAATTTATCAAGGAATATTGAATTAATCAATTCTATAGTATAACAATTAATTAGCTCATTTGAATTATTAGAGCATAATAGAACAGAACAGAAGCAGATAAACAGGTAACATTTTCTTTCGTTTCGTGAGAAATATCGCTCGAGCCTTAAGAATAATACACCAATAGAATTGTATTCAGCCATATTCGATACACACGTAACTCCGTAATTATTTAGGAATGGATTTTAAACAACAATTTCATCATTTTAAACAATAATTCCATATCATTAACAAGAAAACGTATAACTTTCCATCTGAATCCTATTCTGGTGGAATAAAAGGAATAGATTACTGTTTGTAGATGGTGGTATCAACGTGGGAATATTTAATGTTTGTAGGTTAAAATTTTTGTTTTGTACACAAACAAATCACAATACTACAGTAATTCCATCATTTACATGATAGAGAAATCTCTCATGCTAAAGATTATAATTCGGTAAACTATACACTGTATTTTTACCATATTTACATGTAGAGGGCTTTGTGTTGGCGTCTGACGACACCGATAAGTTAGTGGACTAACACCTCTATCTATATGTGGTGTGTTCCAGAATATTCATGAGTGTCACAAAAAGAACATGCTTTTGAAAGATGAAGAATGCAACATGCAATGAGTCTAAGATCTTCACCTTTTAAAATATGACGGTTTTGAAGTAAGAGACAGGCCCGTAGCCAGGATTCTTGCGAAGAGGGAGATCGACTTTTTTGCCTTTATATTTAGCGATAGTGTGAAGTCTTATCAATTAGCAACTTTTTCTAACGGGATTCAGTGGAAAAAATTCATTTTCTCAAAAGTCAAGGGGGAGGTGACCGGTCCCCTAATCTCCCCCTGGCTACGACCCTGGTAAGAGGATACCCATGTACTAAATATCGGTAATTAATCTTGAAAAATCATGCGCTTAATCGCGATTAATAGCGGATTGTAGCGATTAATCACGATTAATTGACGATTTTTTTTCTAGGTCGAACCCATCTTAGGAAATACATATATTTTTGTGTTTTTTCATTGTTTATTATGTATAATGACATGTACGTCACTCAGCAACGGTCTTAGCACCAGCTCAAGTCGGAGCGTTGTCGGAGAGTCGATTTTAGACATTTCCCAGATACCAGATGTTCACTGGACTCCTCGGCATAAAGCACTAAGAGACCATAGAAAAGACTCTTGACAACTGCGTTTTACTCTAAAATAAAAAGGTGATCTAAATAGAATTGAATTTCTCGTTGAAATCGTGTTTCTTATATACATACCTTACGGCAAAATAAAACGGTGAGTAAGAATAACCATTTAATCGCTTAAAACCAACAATTAATCGCAATTAATTGTTAAAAATACCGCGATTTCGTCGACGTCGGCCGTCTTTTTCACAAATTTTCGAATAAAATAATCTCAAAAACTACAGTTATGTTAAAAGTGGAAATCACTCTCAAAGTTTGCTACTTCATTGTTTTGACAATTACTGAACTTTCTTATCGAAGTTGCTTTAGAGTTACTTTATTTTTTATTTTTTTCATTCGCGACTTCATAGAAATATATATTAGACTATAAAAGTTGCTCGAGTGAGACCCAAAGGAGAGTTAGATAATTGACCTGGAATATTGTTATCCAGATACCGGCTTTATATTATATATATATTCAATTGAATTTATTATTATTCGCGAAAAGTGAGAGTCATCAAAGGTCCTCAACCTATAAAACAATGATTCGAGCCAAACAACAACAAAAAGAATCTATAAACAGAAAAATAAAAATAAAAAGTAAACTAGTATATATGTATATGGCAGCAAAACAATACAGGTGACGATGGCGATAAAAATCAACTTATCGTTTTTAGAACGTTGATTAATCACTTCAAAACGGCTGGTTAACAGCCACTGTAAACGGATCATTTCGTTTGAGCTTGGAACAAACGGTTTTTGCTTTATTACATGCTTTGAAAAGGATTAATAACCTCCCCTAATCACTGAGTATTTTTTCAAAGAACTTTTTGAATGGAACTTGAATATATGGTGCGCGCAGAATCATAACATCTAGGTGAGACGCACAGTGGGTGTTCAGGTGAACATTTAGAAAAAAAATTTCACCTTCACTCTCACAAACTTTCTCAAAATTTGCCCGTTTATGTGCTTGATTTGCTCATGATTGATGGCATTTTGACGCTAACCGTAATACAGTTTTTTTCGAAATTGTCCGAGTTTTTACGTATTGGCTCTAGTCAGAATTCGAATTTTAACATTTTTCGTTAAATCAATAACATATCTAGAACTAGCTCCCCGAGCTGCATCAAAGTTGTTTTTCAAAAAAACGTTCAACCAGCATCTTCGTCGAATGATCAAGTAACCACTACCATAAACGCACTACACGAAGCTATACATAACAGTAGTAATGCGGCGATTTTTCGAAGCTGCATGTGAAATCTTCTCTGTTCACAATAGACCAGTACCACGACTGATGATCGTTCAATAGATGGCGACGCTCCATCTTGTTCATGTTGGACATTCATTGATGCATAAATAATCATTTTTTTATCTCACTGAATGGTAGTTTTCAGAGGTGGAATCGGGCCGGTAGAGACCGGTATTTCACCGGTTGAAGCTTTTGAAACATCTGCTCTTTTTACCCTGTTTTTCGTCAAAAAACTAAAATTTCACGTCTTTTTCAGTCAGAATAAGTAAGACGGTGCTCAAGACAAATATTATTTCCATCAGTTGTTTTAAGGTTAAATGTTACAGATGTTATTGTGAAGGTTCTCTCACATGTGCTCGCAAACTGTTTCATTTCACGGAATTCTTTCTGAAAATCGATTTTCAAAAGACTTCGCCAGTTTTTCGCCGGTATTTCACCGATTTGAATTATAATTCCAACCGGCCAGTTTACCGGCCGAACCGGACTAGTTTACCGTTTCTCAACCGGTTCCAGCTCTGGTAGTTCATATCTCAATTAATACGACGTAAAGACAGATTTTTTATGTCACAAGGGTTTAAGAGCTGCGTTGTCATGATTTGGCTTATACTAATGACTCTGTATCGAGTGAATATTTGTTTTCACACATAACACATGTTTTATTAGAATATGCACAAAAAAAAGTAGTCAAAAGCATTCAATAACGTCGGGTGGTTTCACAGAACCGAAAATGATGTGTGTTCTTCATTTTGGTCGAGATGTCTATTATTGAATTCACCTGAAACTGGCGGCTTAATAGCTGAAACACATGCAATATTGTGCGCTCTATCTTGCTATCAGAAATCGGAATAAATCGACATTCGGGCTTGCAGAAAGATCTCTAGAAAGCCTTCGGAAAATGATAAGCTTGCAAACCTGCCTTTGAAAGATTTCAGCATTACAGAATTATAGAGCTTGTTAGAATGTGTGTTCTCTGAAATTTCAGGGCATTGGAGAAATTCTTGGCCGCCAGATTTTTGAGAAAAACTTGTGGAGAAGGTCGACGAACAAAAATATAAAATTTCCTCCTTTCGATGTAAGTTCTACAATTTTGTTTTATCTAGTGGTTATTTTATTGATTTATTTCTCCCAGCGGCGCCCTTACAACACTTAACATATGACACAGATTCTGAATTCCATTGGTGTATTATGTTAACTTCTGCTTTATCAAAACAGTATCTTGACCTACTTTGTTTATGATTGATACGCTAGAAGAGCTCTTGCAATTTCCCCAAGTTGAACTCTCATTTTCAAGAGGACAGAAAGATAGAATAGCAACTACGGGCCTTGTATTATGCTCTACAGAGATCGACTTCTCAAAAGAATGTCAGGTTTGGTTAACAAGTGGTTGACCAGCGTCCTTCTTAAAACTGCCGGACTTAATGAATGAGGAATGATGATTTTAAACAATCAGTTGAAACATTGTTCAGAACGATGAATGTTAAAAAACTCTTGTTTAATTGATTACAATGTGGACTCCACAGTTAGAATTTTCAAAATTCTAACTATAGGTAAAAAATAGAGTTTTTAACACTATCTCGATTTTTCCATATTTTAAAAGTCAAAGGAATTAAATAGAAAGAAACTGTCGTTGATAAGTTGGTCATTCTAGAGTTCTTCGGTACTTTTCGTGTAACTTTCTATGTTCACATTTTGTAATGAAATACTTGATAGTTTTTTGTAAAGAATTTCTAAAGAATTGGCGCTTTTAGCAAATGAAACACCTCTCCTAGTCATCGAATCTTACATAAGAACCTGACAGGGATCTGATAAGAATCATGTCAGCTTCTTATCTGCTTTTTGTTAAGAATCTTATCTGATTCTTACCAGATTCTTTCATAAGTAGTGACACACAAGTGAAAGAAATTTCATACGAAGCAGATAAGAATCAGTAAGAATCAAGCAAGAATTTCATAAATGTTGAGAGTCATTAGTTTCTGTTTGATTTCTTATGAAATGCTTCTACGAAATTTTTTTTTCTGCACTCAAAATGATTCTCTGAGCAGTTCTTATATAAGCTTTTAACAATAATGAGCAAAAAAAAATTTTAAAAAGAGCGATCCGCTCAGGATTCGAACAAGATTCTTATGCAATTTCTTCCCACTGTCGTGCCACTACTTACATAAGAATCTGGTAAGAATCAGATAAGAATTTTATTTGAGTTTTAAATAAATTCTTGTCTAGGAACTCGAGCAATATTCAGTCGAATTAGCGCATAAACGGTAGCCTAAATTATTACAAAATGAATGCGTTGGCATCTCTCAGTATTATACAGCTTGAGCTATCGATATTGCAAGCTTATTTCTGTAGGAAGAAGCAAATAGTTATCGTTGAAACTTGCCTTTTCAACGGATTCTTGTGTCCATCATGCATGCCAAACCCTGTTGTTGATAGACTTTTTAATCAAACAATCAGGACCTACCGAGGATTTGCATGAAACGCTAAAAGACGCAAATGTGTGATAAAAAAGAGTATGTAAATTCCCAATATAGACGTCAGGCATACTTTTTTACTATTGCATGCAAATCATCTTTGCTAAATAAAGAAATCATTTTGTCAGAATAAAATTCTTTTTATTTCAGAAACTTTGTAATATTGTTTGATAGTCGATGAGTAATATATAGAGACTATCGGACTACGTATTCATATTTATTGTGTATTTTTCCACTTTATATTTCTCATCTCCAACCAAATCTTCGAATCTGACATGGAAAAAAATGCAGGCAACGTATTTTAATCTCATATTCACATATACTCTTCTTAATAAATGCGCACACAACTTTAAGTTTAAATTGTGTTACTAGCAGTCGTAGTAGTCAGAATACATTTTTGCTTGCTTTTTCTTCGTCTATTTCACATTGCATATATAAACTGCTGTTACATTACTAACTGAGGAAAGAAATGACATACAAGGTGTTTTTTTCTTCTTTTATGTGTATATAGGGGTTTATGGTACTTTTTCCATTCACTTCGTTCTTTTGTGCTTGTTTTACATTGTGAGTGTGTCGTATACAGAGAAATAACACAACCATCGTGCACTAAACACATATACATTCATATAGAGAACATCGAAATGCATTTCTTGCTTGCCATTGCCTTCTAGTTTTTTTCATCATTATACTCATCATCACTTATAGAAGGCAAGCAAATCGACTTTCTATAAAGCAAAAAAACACATACAAACACACACACACATATACAAAAAAATAGGGAAGCTTTTATTTTTCAAAAAAAAATTGAATCTTATATATATAACATCCTTACGTGTTGCTATCGTATAGAATAGTAGTATACGTCGTTTTCTTCCTCTTAGAATCAAGCGAAAAAAACGTCTATTCACCCAAAGTTGAAGTTGCGGCAGCAGTTCGTATGTATTTATGACAGTGTATGTATGTCTTATAGAACGATTCTATGTACGTACTATTCTTCATTGCTATCTACAGTCTATATTCATGCCGTTGAACATAGAATCGAAACCGTTGTTCTCGCTCTTGCTATATTTTCTTCTTCTTCTTCCTTACGGTCACAGAAACATTTGAATTGTCATTGTGATTTTGGAGCGTAGTCCGTTGAGACACTTCAACAACGAACAGAGAAACACAAATAAATCTCACTTTGAGACGTATCTTGTAAGATATTCATTTAAACAGCGTCTGGTAAGATTCACAATCAGTTTTTCAATCATTTTTCTAGTTTTACAGTCTTTCTCGATGAAAGAAAATAGAGTGATATATATTTTTTTTCTTTTTTGTTAGATATTTTTATTCTTTTCGTTGTTGATTATAGATAAATCTCAGACTGAGATATGATCAGTCCAACGCTTTGTTCTAGAGCATTCAGAACAATTTTGTTATTGTTAACAGTCTTTATACTCACTAGCCGTTATCTAGATTCTATCAACTTCAGTTCAGAACGTTATTAAACGATAAAAGTCATTCTACACAGAACTACTACGATTGTTTTAAAGAGTTTTTGAGTGAAGCTCTCGTACTTGGTAAAGCATAAACTTGCAAAATATTCCGCATACTTTGATTCTAAAAGAATTGTTATTGTGTAATGACACTATGAACTGAATTGATGGGAGCTAGATAAACGGCTAGTGAGAATTAAGACTGTTAACAAGAAAAAAGAGAACTTTCAATTTGACTAGAATATTTTCTGTGTACTAGTGATGCAGTGTCAAATATTGGATCTTGTCTTATTTCAGATAATTATCAAATTCTTTTCGTTAATAAACTATCTACTATCATATAGCAATGCCTCGAGCTCCCAAAAAACAAACAAAAGATCCCAATGCACCAAAAAGACCATTGTCAGCATTTTTTCTCTTTTCACAAGATGAACGACCTGCTATAAAAGCTGGAAATAATTCATTATCTGTTGGTGACATTTCAAAACAAATTGGTGAAAAATGGCGGAAAATTAAGTAAGTCATTCAACGATTAAAGACACATAATGTGCATCACATAATTCTTTATTTCCAGTGAAGATGTTAAAAAAGGATATGAAAAACGAGCACAAGAAGCCAAAAAAGTTTATGATAAAGATATGGAGGCTTATAGAAAAAAACAAGCGAGTTCAAGTGGTGGCGCTACTGGTGGCGCAAGTGCAAGTGCTCAACCATCAAAAAGTCGGCCAAAAAAGAAAGCGCCACCTAAAGCACCAGAATCTGATGAAGATGACATGGATGACGAGGAAGATGAGGAATAAATGATGACTCAGCAGAAAAGAAAATGTATAGTATTTTGTTGTACAGTCTATCATTATGGTAGCAAACATTATAATCGAAACTAAGTCGAATTTGGTGACTGTTGTTAATGTTGTTTTCATTTCCAGAATGACCGATTGTTTTTTTCTTCTTGTTGATGTTATTGTTGTTGTTTTTTCTTCTGCTTGTTCGTTCAACTCAGCAAAATTTTTCTATCATTTCATATATATTTTTCTTCTGTGTTTGTAACTTTTTCAAAATTTTTGTGTACTGATGGAAAAAAATGCGCTATACTATACTTAAATAATATAAATAAAGAAAACAAAGATGAAAGCGTGAGATATTGAGGATGAAACTCAGCTAACTAATAATCGAAAGTGCTTATTTCCTCATCTCAGTCACAGTCAGTGACATTGGGAATTGTTCTTTTTTGGTATTAGATGTTAATGCAGTCCGCTTGAAAAATAGATGGAAATGTATCGCTATATAGATACAGGTATCGCTCGTAGTGATATGATCTACACTATGATAGTATTAGTATATCAAAGTGGGCTTTTTGTTACTGAAATATTCTCAAAAACAATGTCTTCTATGGTGCAGAGTCGTAAATATCTGGGTTATTCTAATAGATCATAAAAAGAAAAACATAAGAAAATCCCATTTAATCCTTGCTTAATTCTAAAACTTTTATTTAACGAATTTCTTTTTCTGAAAGCTGAGAGAGTGCACGACATAAGGACATTTTTTTCCATCTGTTTACATACATTACGGTAGCAATACGTCGACGGACATGTCACAGCATATATATTACTAGAACCGTGAGAATAGTAGCAGAGATACTATCCAATTTCCAATTTATCCAATTCTGTAACTCTAATGTTTTATCCTACAGTACACAAATAATAAACGAATCATACAATATTGTAATATACAAAACTCGTAGCTCTATAGAAATTCTAACAGTAAGGTTCATATTTGTATTCAAACAATTCTCTTAGATCTAGGAAACGCAAATTGTTTAATCTATCATTTTAAATGTCATCGCGATTAACGTTTTGGAAAGGAGTTACATTTCCCATTTCTGGGAGATCCAAAGTAACCTTAAATCTATATCAATTTCTCTTATTTTGATACAGCCTGATTATCAAATTAGAATACTCCTGAGGCTCCCGTGGAAATCTTGTGAATCTCTCCATCGAAGAAATCCTGTTCACAAGAATCATTCACCGTTCTATTTTAACGAAGTTCATATCGGGACGGGAGGCGAAAATGACTGATCACTTTCGACCGGTGACTAAAATAATGCTTTCAAATTTTATTTTGTAATCGAAAGTTGTAGAATGTTATACTCTCGACAACAGTATATCGAGTTTAGAAATTAGCTAAGATTCTTCGACATAATATTTAGAGTATCACACTACCTCAGTTTCAAAAAACTATTTTACTGTGCAATACCATGTGCTCTACAAATAAGCGGCCTCAAGTGCTCAAATGTATTATGCGCTTTCCTTTATACGGCACTTGTATTTTTATTCTAAAAAGATGTCTAATTTTCTATGATATTTTTTAACGGGATTTTCATCTAGGACTAGTCTGCGTTTTTTTTGTAATAAACTACGATAAAAAATGCGATAATGTTTGAAAACAACAGAAGAGGACTAGTGATGAAACATCGTTTATTTAGCCTGGTATAAGGTTGCAATTGGTGACAAACAAATTATCGAGCTTTACAAACTCTAGGAGTCATTTTATTCATGTCCTATTATCTTATCTTGTGAATAGGAAAAAAGTGAGCATAGAATAACAATGATGCTGCAACAGAAAGAAAGAAAAAACAAAATTTGCGCAAGAATTATACATTTGGTCAAAATGAAACTAAAAGCAAATATATAGAACATGGTTATATATTGCAAAAAGTAAAAATACATTCTCTTCGAGAGATTATACAATAAAATAACAGATTTAATCATTAAAAAATGTACATCGATAAAAAAACAAAAGATAGTAGAAAAATTAGGAAATAAAACTGTCGCAAATACCATGATTTTGTTTCACAAAACTTATTTGGTTTTAAGTATTCAATATGAGTCTACGTATTCACCATTCAAAAAAACAAAACAATAACAAGAAAAATAGCTGTAGCATATGACCTAAAACAAAAGACCTAAGATGTGATCGATCATACAAATAACATATAAAAGCTTGAAAACAAATAAGTTTTGTAAAACACAATCATGTTTTTAGTATTATTTATATTTATTTCTACTATTTACACCGATATGTCAAGATATTTTTCATCTAACCTTCGTACTACCAATTTTTCATGTGACATATTCAATATAACCTGTCGAGATAATGGATGATATGACGGATAATCATACGAGAATGAAATTGCAGGTTGTGCTTGTCGATAAGATTCATTTCTTGATGTAATGTCCTTATTTGATGAATTATCGCGGTCTAGGTTAGTTTTTAGTGATTTGTATAATATGTCATCATTATAATGCTGCATATTCGAAACAGATAAGGAAGGCTTATGATTATTCATAACACTACTGTTCTCACTAAATCTTCTACTGATCATAATATAAGTGCCTCCATCATCGTTATTTTCATTATAAATTGTTTCACTGTCTTGAACATTATCGTAACTAAATTTCGATGACAAGGACATATTTGAGACACTGCGATGGGACGATGGAAGAAATATTTGTCTTAAATCTTCGTCAGTAGATTGCAATTCTTTCAATAGTGTTTCCTGTTGTTGTGCCCGTATATTTATTGGTGAAGTAGAAAAAAAATTGGAAAATGAGGACGAAACGATTGAAGGTGACTGTCGAAGCATAATAATTGGATGATCAAGACTATTCGTTGAAGATGGTGTTCGACGATTGTTGATAGATGTTGACTGATGAAAATAGTTGACTTGATAATGTCTTTTAGAAGTGGGCACAGATTTGTAATTTTCTACAATGAAATACAACATACAGTAATACAATTTCAATCCATCGGTTTTCTCGTATAGCGTCAGTAACTACGTACACAGTCGAACAATGGTGGGAAAAGAATAAATTTATAGTGTTAAAAAGCTGTACTAAATCATCTTCAGACACAGACGCAACATAATTTAGTAGAAGAGAAAAAAGTGTAAGAGTGATCGACAAAATCGTCTTCGGACAATTCGTCTAAGATAGTTCGTCGTCAAACAATTCGTTGCAGACAATTTGTTTCAGAAAATTTAGTCTCCGAATAATTTGTTCCATAAACAATTCGTCTCTTAAGAGATGAATTGTCTATGGAACAAATTGTCTGAAGGCTAAATCTCTTGAAACAAATTATCTGCAACGAATTGTTCGAGGACGAACTGTCTCAGGCAAATTGTCCGAGACAAGTTGTCTAAGACAAAATGTCTGGAAACGACTTGTCCATGAGACGACGTGTCCGGGGACGATTTGTCTAAGACAAATTGTCTTGGAACGAAGTGACCGGCCAGCGAAGAAATAGTCATAACACACTGTTTTACACTACGTCTACAGACTTGTATTTCTTTTACGTTTGAAATAGATCAATAACGAAGTTATTTTGAGTGTAAAATGTTGATCCTATATTGTCAAAGTATCTAGGATGGTATGATGAACCTGGAAAAATGATGTTCACAACGTTATTAATAGTGGATGATAAGTTAGAGAGATTCTACATAGCTTTCCTAGTGCTCTTGTTTTAGTTGGTTACTGGAAGAAATTACCTGTTGTAATTTGTTCCTTAACATGATTTTCAATTGGATTAATATATAAATTTGATTGTTTTATTGTCGATTGCTTTTTCCTTCCAATTTTTAGTTCAATATGATTTTCATGCATTACATTATCTTGTTGGTCATCGTTTAATTCAACATGACCCTCCATTTTGTTAATCGTTTTCGATTTATTACTATTATTGTTAATAACATCATTATTATTAGCTTTATTATTTGCTATTTTATAAATAACTCGAGTTGTCGATATATCTTTATTTTGCTGTGATTTTTGTATTGTCATTCGATTGTACAATTTTATTTTTGGTACAGTCAATTTTGGATATAATGGCAAACATAGAATTCGAAAAAAATTCATCACACATCCATAATTAAATGGATTATCTTTTTCTTGATATTTTTTTGTTACGTGTTCATTTGTTGTTCGACCTTTTGAAATTAAGTAAATATGAAAACATGTTAAACCACCAATGGGTATTACCATTAAAACGATAATGATGAGTAAAATAATACAAAGAATAAGACGATAATCACTAAAATAAGTTAATGGGAAATAATTCGAAGATGATGTGTTTGATTGTAATGAGTCCACACGTGATATCGATGATGAGGATGAATTACGTTTTACCATAATATAATATAAACAAAATGAAAATATTAATATCATATGAACACATAATAAACATAAAAATTGAAAAAAATAACGATAATTACGTCGTGCAACGCAATTATTCAGCCATGGACAATGATGATCAAATGACTAGAAAAAACATTGAAATACAGTTGTCATAAGTAACATTTTAAAGAAACAGCCATAATTGACAAAAATTAACTATTTATTCTTTATTAAATAGTACGTACACTGAACGTTTCGGTCTCTTCATACAACCATTTTCAAGAGAAATGTAAAATTGATTCTATCCTACCATTCATAACTCTTGAAATTTATGATGGCTGATCAAAAACGCACATCCACAAAAAGCCAATATCCATTCAAATTAGGATTTAAATGATGTTTTGTAATTCTTTTGTGTTTCTTAAGTGGAACCACCATAAGCGCTAGAAAAACCTTGTTTAATATCCTTTGCGTTTGGTAAAAAAATGAACTAATACGGCGAAAAATGCAAAAAAAAATGTATAAAAATTGCAATTGTACATTTCTCTTGAAAATGGTTGTATGAAGAGACCGAAACTTTGAGTGTACTATTTAATAAAGAATAAATAGTTAATTTTTGTCAATTATGGCTGCTTCTTTAAAATATTACTTATTTCGATTATTGGCGTTAATGTCATCTAATTAAAATACAGTTGTTTATTAACATAGTCGATATTTTCAAAGTGGCAAACAGAGGTGCAGTAAACGAGTGTATTCTACCCCTGTGGTGTCAAACAATAATAATCACCTGCTATTTTAAGTAGATTTGAGTTTAAAAAGATTTTTTAGTTATACAATGATGAAGTCTGTTGAACAAGAAACACATCATTGACTTACATCAATACAACATTCACATATTGAACAGTGTGAACATCTAGGTGGTCTAAAAAATTTGCATGTTGTACAATATTTCATATTAATTTGACTACCATTAATATGTACTGATTTTAGTGGTAGTGAATATGGATGAGAATCATCCTTATCTGCACTGCGTATGATATGTGTATATTCATTTTTCAACGATTGTTCATAAACACCAGGATCTAAAAATGTTGCCAATAAAAAATTTGAACATAAAAAAATAAATAGTAGACAATGTGAAATTGGTATAAATATCATCATATTTAATATACGAGTTATTTCTGGTAATATAATAATACCATAAGTAAATGAAGTTGATAATAAAATAGACCAGGCAAATATTACTGGTAAATGTTTTGATGAGCAAGGTTTTAATGATTTTGATGATGATGATAATAAAGGCATATTACTGGTATATAGTGGGAAAAGAACACCGTAACAGAAATGTTATACTCATCCGTCATTTACATATAAAGATAATAAAAATATAAAATCTAAAAAATTACACACAAATTGAATCAAAATGTGTTTACACTTGAATAAAAATATTAAACAATAAAATATTCTTTTTTTTTCTATTTCAATTTCATTTCTGTAAGAAATAATACAAAGAAACGAAACGAAAAAATGTCCTGTTTTTGTTTAGTAGATCTTGTTGTAGAACATATCTGTTTGGATATTTTTTAGCTGCACTAAATTAATTCTAGTATAAAAACTACTCACGAGGAAACCTATCCAAGTGATACCTTCCGATTTTTTTCGGTCATACGTCGATCGATAGAGGGTATCGAACTAGTAAAAAGCCGTAGTTTCCTGGAAAACCAGTTTTCAGAAACTCTAAAAAATAACCAAAACCGTTCTTAATGAGGCATAATTGTAGCCCGCAAATTTCTGATTAAAATGAGACATCTTCCAGCTCTACACGACCTTTCTTTGCAAAGTTATAAAATTTACAATAAAAGCCCTAAATGTTTGCTCAAAGCTACAGAAATAAGAAGAAATTAATTTAGGGCATTTCTTGTAAATTTTATAACTTTGCAAAGAAAGGTCGTGTAGAGCTAGGAGATGTCTCATTTTAATCAGAAATTTGCGGGCTACAATCATGTCTCATTAAGAAATTGTTTTGATTATTTTTTAGAGTTTCTGAAAACTGGTTTTCCAGAAAACTACGTCATCAAGAGTCATGGGGAAAAATCCTTTTAGACTTCTTACTAGTTAGCTACCTTCTATCAATCGACGTATGACCGAACGAAATCGGAAGGTATCACCTGGATAGGTTTCCTCGTCAGGAAACATATAAATAGAAAAAAAATTCGTCCGTCTATTACCTTTTTTGAAAACGATAGCAAATAGCGTTAAAATATCAGTAAACATTTATACACAACTAAACTGTTTCATCTTGTTGAGTTAAAGGACGACACTACTTTTGATTAATAACGTTTTGTAGGCGAGCTTATAATTATCTAATTTTTGAATTTACACTCTTAACCTATTGATCTAAAAATTTTAATTTTAAAAAGTATGTCTAGTATTAACACTTATTCGCACATTCCATACACATCATAAAGATTGTATATTAAAAAGAGAGAAGATTCCCTAATGTGTATAGGTGACCTAGAGAATTCTATACAGGCTTATTAAATACAAAAACAAGAAAAAATGCATATATCCTATTGAGAAATACTATTATCGATATGATAAAAAAACTAAATAAAAAATAATAAAAAATTTTAATTTCATCTAAGTATAAAAAACAGTAAACAAACACTGAAGATATTTTGTTGATTGAACAAGAGACACATATATCTATCTATATATTATTAGTATAAATAAGAGAGAGAAAATATGAATCGATATGAAATAATTGTTATTCTATTAATTGTATATGTATTGAGAGTAATTGTTGATCACCATAATGTGTGCAATTATTAATAAAAGATTTCAATCGACAAACTAAACGATAGAGAGATTCTGAAAAATATATACAAAATCAGAGCATATCACCGACAAGAAATTAAAAATTAAAAATTTAGAGTTAAAGAAAAGTGTTTTTTCGTATTCAGCACACTTGATAACCTGGAAAATTTTCTATTTTTAGCGAGGGGTACCGCCAAAAAGTTAAGAAAAATTTTCAAAATTGTATAATTTTACAGTGGAGATTT